CATAGTATTTCTGCAAGAAGCACTGATTTCTTACAGAAGGAAGTCAGTGTTCTTGCGGAAATCCAGTGTAGACAGCTTTTGCGGAAAAACTTGCCATTCTAGACATAGCCTGCATGTTTAGCAAGATAGGGAGGAAAGTTGGGGCAGAGTGGAAGGTTGAGGGTCCTTCAGGTAGATTATCTCTGAGATGCATGTGTCACAAAACAGTGGGTTCTGTCTTTTACAAACAGTAAGGCTATGTTTAAATTACATCAGCTGATCTGGCACAGCGTGGTGGCCATTTTTATTTTAATGAAGCGGGGATTATTTAAATTCCCACTTCTTTGACTATTCCGAATAAACTATTTTACATGGCTCCGTTGACAGAGCCACGTAGTCTAGATGTAGCCTAAATGGAATAAAATACTTATCACTTTTATAAAATGTCTTTCAATGTAATCTCATCATTTGTTTAAACTGTAACAGTCTTTAAAAAGCTAGAAAAGAAGTCTTTGTAAAAAAAAATAAGCAAACTGAAGGGATGACCCCTAGAGCATTGCTAAGGCAGACTAAAGTGTATTGATCACTGGCTGGCCTAATTAGTCTTATCTGTTTTTAAAATGGAGAAAAAGCCACAATTCCAGACTGTGATGTATTTTAATAAAATCTATGGAGCCAAAACAAACAAGGAGTTTGTACCCATGTCTCAGCACATTGGCTGCAAACATTAAAAACAAAAGTTATTCTAATAATGCAACAAAAAAATTATGCTAAAATCTAAAAGTCCCAAGAAATTATATATTTCATACATCTTTCACATGAATTTGTTAAAATGTAGGGAGGAAAATAAACTTCTCTCTAAGTCACTGGATTACAAGATAAGGAGAATATAAACTAGATGTTACTAAGGCTTTGTGGTTTTAACTATGGGGTGTTTCTTCATGTTCATTTTTTAAAAACTGAAACACAGCTATAAAAGTGTTATATGGAGGCATGTGTCTTCATATAGGTTTGTCTTTTAAAGTGTTTATAAAATATAGCTTAAATTTCCAGTAAATGAAATCTTGATATAGCTTTCAGTTATATTTGTTAAAAAGTGTGGAAAGAAGCAGCCTTCTTATCTCTGATACAGTAGATCAGAGATATTGTTTTGTTAACAGTGGCATTGCTGCAAACACATGCTGCTTCAAATTGGTCATTTTTAGTTAGGACAATGTTATTCTAAAACATAGGAGAAAAACATTTTTTATCACTATAAATTGTTTTTAGAAACAAGTTGCCTGTGATTTTACTCATGGGATGTTTCTGCAGGCTAATTTTTTATTTAAACAAATTGCAAAAGTGCTAAATGAATTAATGTATTTCAGATAGGTTTGTCTTTTAAAGTGTTCATGCCTTTACAAAACTTAATATAACTTTCACTTGTATTTATTAAAAGGTGAGGGGGAAAAACAAATGTCTGTCTGATCCATTAGTTTACAAATTAAGGGGAATGTAAATTGGCTGATGCTGTGAACCTATGTTTTTAATTCTGGGGTACTTATGAATGCTCTTTTATTTTAAATTGAAACATACCTGTGACAGTGTTAAATTGAGGGATGAGACTTCAGATATGTTTGTCTTCTAAAATGTTTATAACATATCCCTTAAATTTCCAGTAAATTAAAGTTTGTTGTAGCTTTCACTTATATGTGTTATAAAGTGAAGAAGCAGCCTTCTTATTTTTGATCCACTGGCTCAAACATGCTGGGCTCGTCTACATTGGCCCCTTTTCCGGAAGGGGCATGTTAATTTCAGAGATTGTAATAGGGAAATCCGCGGGGGATTTAAATATCCCCCGCGGCATTTAAATAAAAATGTCCGCCGCTTTTTTCCGGCTTTTAGAAAAGCCGGAAAAGAGCGTCTACACTGGCCCCGATCCTCCAGAAAAAGCGCCCTTTTCTGGAGGATCTTATTCCTACTTCCTGTCACTAAACACAAAATTTTCCTCTCTTTCTAGATCTTAAAAATCAATCCTTACTAAACCTAACAAAAAATATTACTTTTATAAAACTTCTTTAAGGACTTTCTTTCATACTTTTTCTGTAAATTTGTCTCAAAAGCTTCCCCCTCTCAAAGCATACAAATAATAATAAACTTTTCCTTCAAAATGGCTGACAGCTAAACCTAACCAAAAATCATTCATAGCCAACCTGTGATCTTTTGGTCTTTTTCTCTATACTTGTATCAAATAACAAACAGAGCACAATATCCCAGCCAAATATAAAAAATTAATCATTTTATTTTCTTTCAAAATGCCTGATGGTGCCAAATCTCAACACAAAAGGAAATGGACATGGAGAATAGGACATAAGCCCTGAAAGGGGTATGGAAACCTGTCAAAAAGTATATAATGATGAATGCTATCCATGTATATACTACTGAGAGGGAGAGAGAAGAATGGGAGGGGATAGGGAGCAGGAGCAGAGGTGGAAAGGAAGGTTTATGAGGGGAGGAGGAGCAGGAGCTGAGGAGGAAAAGGGAGGTAGAGGTGAAAGTCGGGGGAAGCAGGATTTGGGGTGTAGAGGGAAGCAGCAAGCAGAGAAAGGGGGCAGGAGCTGAAATGATGAGGAGCAGTGGTGAAGGAGAAGGGGTGCAACAGCTGGGATGGAGAGAGAAGCAGTGGGACAGGAAGGGGAGCAGAAGCTGGGATTGACAGGGAAGGAATAGGGAGAAGAGCTGGGGAGAAAAGGGCAGCAGTGAGGGGAAAGGAAAAAGGAGCTGGAGCCAAAGGGAGGTGGGGGGTGGGAGTGGACCAGGAGCTGGTGAGCATTGGGAAGGGAAGCAGGAACTGAGGTGGAGATGGAAGCAGAGAGAGAGGAGGGTACCAGGAGCTGAGGTGGAGAGGGAGAGGAAGGAGGGAAAGGGGAACAGGAGCTGGAGTGAAAATGAGGGGAACAGGAGCAGAGGTGCAGAAGAGAGCAGTGAGAAGGGAAAGATGCCAGGAGCTCAGGTGCGGAGGAGAGAAGTGGAACGGAAGGGGAACGGGAGCTGGTGCGGAGAAAGGAGCGGTGGGAGGGAAGAGCAAGAGGAGGGGGAATGGGAACAGAAGATGGGAAGGGGCGGGGAGAGGTAGTAGGGCGGGGAGAGAAGCAGTGGCAGGGGGAGGGAAGCTGGCGGGAGAGGGAGCAGGGAGAGGTGATGGATAGCAGGAGAGGGGAACCCGGACGGAAGTACAGTGAGCAGCACGGGGCGGGAAGGAAAGCCCCGGGAGAAGCGGGGCATAAGAGATAAAGCGGTTTGCGCCTGGAGAGGGAATCACCCCTCCCCCCCATCTGAGGTGCGGCGGAAAGGGACCCTCTGTGGCCTCGGCCCGGCGCTTGCAGCCCCTCACACTCAGGCACTGAGCGGATCCTGGCGCCTCTCAGGGTCTGTTCTTGCCTCACTCGCGAGACCCGAGCCGCGGCCGAGAGCGTCGAACAACTCGCCAAGTGCAGGGACCTCGTGCGGCTCCCGATCCGGCCAGCCCCCCAGGGAGCCTGATACCCCGGCCAGCCCCACAGGGAGCCTGATACCCGGGCCTGCCGCTCCCGCCCGGCCTGCCCCCCTGGGAGCCTGATCCCCCGGCCTGCCGCTTCCGCCCGGCCAGCCCTCCTGGGAGCCTGATACCCCGGCCAGCCCCACAGGGAGCCTGATACCCGGGCCTGCCGCTCCCGCCCGGCCTGCCCCCCTGGGAGCCTGATCCCCCGGCCTGCCGCTTCCGCCCGGCCAGCCCTCCTGGGAGCCTGATACCCCGGCCAGCCCCACAGGGAGCCTGATACCCGGGCCTGCCGCTCCCGCCCGGCCTGCCCCCCTGGGAGCCTGATCCCCCGGCCTGCCGCTTCCGCCCGGCCAGCCCTCCTGGGAGCCTGATACCCCGGCCAGCCCCACAGGGAGCCTGATACCCGGGCCTGCCGCTCCCGCCCGGCCTGCCCCCCTGGGAGCCTGATACCCCGGCCTGCCGCTCCCGCCCGGCCAGCCCCCCTGGGAGCCTGATGCCCCAAGTGCTCTCCGTGTAACTGCGCCTTTAGTCGCGCAGTGACACACAGTGGGGCGTGTGTATGGGACTAGGGGTGGGATGGGCACTGGCCACATAGTAGCAGACAGCGGGGATGCCAGACTGTGGATAGCGAGCACAACTGGACACTCAGGGCGCTCAGGGCGAGAGAGGGGAGACCTACTGCGGGGTACACGGCGGTGCTGGAGCCCGAGCGCCCTGTGCGGTGCATGGCCAGGGGTGGGCAGCGCTGAGCGCACTGCACAAAGCAGGATGGGGGCAGCGATGGTGGATGCGCTGGAAGGTGCAGGACGGACGGTGGCAGTGAACAGCAGGGATGGTGGGCACGCCACATAACGCAGGCCGGGGTCGGTGCTGGTGAATGCACGGGGTGGTGTGTGGTGGGGGGCGGATGGTGGTGACCCAGCGCAGCGGGGCGGGAGTCAGAAAGGCTGGGTACACTGGGCTGCACAAAGCGGGCAGCGAGCCCTGGAGAGTGACCATAAGGGACAATGAGCCCGGTGGGAAGAGGAGCCTGGCTGTGGAGAGGCTGGAGCAAAGGAGGCGGCGGGAAAGGGAGAGGAGGGACGGCGGCCCACGGACACGCT